CACTTGCAGAGCAATACATTTCTTAGGCCCACTTAGGACTCAAAGGTGCTTTACCTGTTATTTTTCACCATAGGCTCTATTTACAATTCTATAGATTCCAGTTAAACACTATTCAAAATTCAACTCTTAATTTTTCTAGGAAGGGGAAATGCTTGGGCTTTTTACATCTGTTCTCAGTAATGACCTCTGTGCTTTAAAACAAATGGAATAATTTTCAGGGTTTAATGGGCTTTTGCCTTCAACAGCTACAAATAATCTAATTATCTAGCCACTCTGGGTACTGGATGATTTAAGAATTAAAGACATGATTAGAATCTGTTACAGTAATTAGAATCCATTTTAAACCAATTGCCTGTGGCATTACATGGTCTAGTGAAAGAAAGGCTGCTGGCTAAATCCTCTTCTTCCACTAAATGCAAAACCAAATATTAGTACAACTTTTTTTTAACTAAGAAAGTCAAGATTTCCAAAGTCGAGTACATCAAATTATCTGTGCTTTTTTATGCTGTTTTTAAATACTTTATGTATCACTGGAGCCAATAGAAGGAAGACCACTGATTGACTGGTCTTTGGATCAAATTCACTGAATAAATTTGTGAATTTAGTGAATAAAAGGAAAATTACAAATTTAGTGAATGAAAGTGTTATTACTTAGGTAAATTAGAAGTCATAATGAAAGAAACGTGGGTAGATTGGGAAGCATTAGGAGAACTTCTGCATGCCCTAAAAATCAGCTAGAAGCCATGCCCCACAAATTAGCTAGAAGTATTTGCAGGAGTCAGCGAGCAGGTGGAAATGGGTGATCCAGCTGATATAATGTTCCTGGATTTCCAGAAAACTCTGACAACACTGTTTTGTCAAAGGCTGGTAAAGAAATTAAACTCTAATGGCAGAAGAAGAAAGGTTCTCTTGTAGAAAAAAGATGGATTGAAAGACAGAAAAAAAGGGCTAGGATTAAATGGTTTGTTTCCACAGTAAGGGCGGTAGAAGGTAGTGTCCAACAACCCTCTGTGTTCATCAGTGCTATTCAGCCCATCCATGACCTGTCTGCATGGACACTGGAACTGAGTAAATGTGCTGGTGACACGCAGCTGTTGGCTGTAGAGAATTGCAGAAGGTGCTCATAAATCTCAGCTAATGGACAGCAAAGTAGCAGACAAAATTCAGTGCTAAGAAGCAAAGAGTTGTACATTAGTTGAGGGGGAACCCTATCTAAATATGCAAAACTATTTGTCATTACTCAGGAAAGAGATGAGGCCCATGAAAATGGCCAGAGGGCTGGAACACCTCTCCTATGAAGAAAGACTGGAAGAGTTGGAGTTTAGCCTGGAAACGAGAAGGCTCCGGGGAGAACTGATTGCAGCCTTTCAATGTATAAATAGGGCTTATAAGAAAGATGGAGAAGGACTTTTTCCCAGGGCCTGTAGTGACAGGACAAGGGGCAAAGGCTTTAAACTGAAAGAGGGTAGGTTTATGTTGGACACAAGGAAGAAAATTTTTTATGATGAGGGTGATGAGACACTGGCACAGGTTGCCCAGAGAAGTTGTGGATGCCCCATCACTGGAAGTGTTCAAGGCCAGGTTGGAGGGGGCTTTGAGCAGCCTGATCTAGTGATAGATGTCCCTGTCCATGGCAGGGGGGTTGGACTAGATGACCTTTAAAGGTCCCTTCCAGTCCAAACCATTCCGCGATTCCATGACTTTGGAGTCACTGACCTCAGTGTGCAGGGATGGTCCTAAAGACTAAAAGAAAGGTAGGGCTTATTAAGGTGGGAATTGAGAACAAGGCAGAAAATATTACTGCACCACGTGAATTCATGGTGTCCATGTCTTGGATATTGTGGTCTGGCCACCTATGTCTCCAAGAGGGTGTAGAAGCACTAGAAAAGGTTCAGAGAAGGGTACAAAGATGACCTGGGCATGGGATACTGCCACACAAACAGAGCCTATATAGGTTGGGACTCAGCCTGGTAAAACAATCATTGAAGGAGGGTGTGTGAGAGGATGGACTAAGGATTTTGACAGTGAGGGAGCTATTGAGGGTTGGCAGGTTCCCCCCTCTTCCCCTGGCAAAATGAGCCTCTACACAGGGGAACATGACATCTTTCATTTCTTTCTCTTGCTTTTTACCCTCCATCTCGTACATCATGAAAGTTCACAGGGCACCAGCTCAGCTGCAACCTGCAGGAGCAAAGGGAAGCCAAAGAATATCTGAGGCTAGAGGCTGTAACTGAGGCTGGAGGGCAAACCCTTGAGAAACTCCTGCCTCTCCAAATTGTCAGTGAGATGGCAGCCACACCGTGCACTGTGGAGAGCACGCTCTGCCCGATACCGGCTCTGTCTGTGCCAGCTGTAGCTATGTGAAAATGCAAATAATTTATAGCCCTGCCACTCTAAGTAGCACTGAGAGCCTGGAGACAGGTAAATGATACATAGAGCATCTCTTTGTTCAGAAACCATTTCCTATTAGAAAATGATATAGAAAGCACCTCGTTCTTCAGAAACTATTTCCTATCTATTCTGAGTTGGATCGTGGCAGATCAGGAGGACAGGGTCAATGACTGACTGACAGCAAGTTGCGTGGGTCATCTGGGATTTATCAAGGTTCCTTATAATACTGGTATTTTTCTTTATTCTATTAGTATAGCAATATGCCATGGTGCAATCTCAGTCCAGCCTGGCAGTGACTAGCTCAGCAGCTACTTTATAGCTTGCTGTGTGTTTGCTTCCCTGTCTGTCCTCTGGAGCACATCACATTTGCTCATTCATGACACAGTTGCCAGGCTGGGAACAGACCATTTTCCTTCAGCTCGTCTCCCCATGCCCCTTGCTTCCACAGGACTAGCAGACCAGCTCAGCACCACTTCATTCCTGCACACCTCAGTGTGCTTGCCTGAATTCATTTGTATCTATTTAATCTACTTGCTGTTTTGATAACATGTGATGTGTGAATGAGATGGAGTTTACCCTATCAACCCACCTATTTGCCTAACATCCACCGTTCCCTTTCACGTGTCCTTATCCAGCCACGGTAAAGCAGAACTCTGTCCTTTTCACTCATGCCACACTTGAGTGCTTTCCAAGAAAATAAGGAGTTGTATTTTTCAGAGTTATATAAATAGGGACCGTGCTATCACTTGTCATAGTAATAATAATTTGTGTCTTATCTGACCACACTTAAAACAAAATTCTCTAGAGAGCAGAAAAGGTGTTTTTATAATGGGTAAGTTGTTATTAATTATTACTGCAAAAAATACTCCTAACTATTGAAATTAAATATCGAGATATCAAAGAACTAAACCTTCCTGCTACAGGACATAAACCATGTTCTAACTAATAGGGCTTAAAAAATATTTTTTTCTGGATTCGTTTTAATAGTGAGCTAATTCAGATACTCTGGCAGTGAGACACTGTCTAAGGAAAGATGCTGAGCAGCGTGGACCACTGGTTTGCCCCTGGAATGGTCATTCTGATCATTCTGTGAATTTATTTGTGTTTAAAAGGACAGTAATTTCACACGCACTAAACACAAATGCTGACAAACACAGTACGTACAAATTTAAGGAATGCTTGACTTTTTTATGTTATATCGATAATGCACCGAAAACGCTTGCATTTAGCAGTGTCCAAGATTGGAAAAGCTGGACAGAGTAAGTAATATGTTTTCTACTGGACTGATAAAAAAGGTGACTATAGAGATATAAGGTGTGATTCATCTAATCTAAATGAAGACAGGTACCTCTGAGTTGCTCTAGGCTTCCTTTATAGAGCTAGGTATTTTTAGGGTGGCCTGTACTAGGCATCAGCTGAATGCACCCCAGAGCCATACATGATGCTGTTGAACCTCACCAGGTCTTGGAGAATGCAGAACTGTCCTCCTGTTGAGAGAGGGTTCCCACTATTTCTTGCTGCGCAGCAGAAGATACGTCTGTTTTAAGTCATAAAAATCCTAGACTGCTTTTTCTCAGACTCTGGGCCTGGATCAAGAGGGAGGCCAGGAGACGATTCAGAGCAGCAGGCAGGCAGCAGTGTTAGGCATCATCTCCTTTCCTTCCCCTCGGAAGAATGGTAATGGATTACAGTTACCACTCACAATAATTTGTATTAGTCAGGGAAGCGGCTAATTACCTTTGATTGCTGGCGACACTTATCTCTTCCAGGGCAAGAGAGTGAATTTTTTCTACTTCTGAATAAGTGAGCTGCCAATGCTCAGGGGGTCTACAGAACCAGATGAGCTGAAAGGGAACTCTGCTTTCAACACATTTGAGAACTGCTGCCCCAGGTGTGTGAGGAAATCCCTTACGACATCAGACACCAAGCTCTTTCCACCTCCCTTGCTGTGAAACTGCTCTGGATGGAGGGTGCTGCCACCACGGGAATGGAAGAGTGGCACTCCCATGCCTAGTTTCAAGCCGCTGGGTTTTGCCAGTGCAAAGAGAGATTAATCTAGGGACTCATTCAGGGCACGTATTTTAGGCTGCAACTCTGAACTGTCCTGTGGGGAAACTTCTCTCATTTACAGTGTACACAGAGTATCTAATGCCTCCTAAATAGGATGCGTAAATACCCTACCCTACGCATGGAGAAAGGCAGAAAACATAAGAAACATCTCCAAACAAATTACCTAGTAAGAAGCTGAGAACAACTGACTTACATAAAACAGGGAAATCTTTTTTTGGGTTGAGATAATTTTTTCTTTTCAGATGTTAAGGTAATGATGGATAATCAATATGGGAAATAAACACATCTTAAAACAAACTTGAACCCAGTAGTTCTATCACTGATGTATATTCTTTCAGTGACAGCGCTGCTCAGTTCTCCTCCATTTCCTGTTGTCGTTGTTGATTTCCATTGCATAATTACTACATTACAGCACTTCTTAGATGGGGGCAAGCAAAATATTGTAGGCAGAGAGTACAGTTTTAGACTGCAGTATATACGTCAAATCCTCTCAAAGGCTAGAAATCTGCAATTACGTGCTGAAACATTGCCTCACTTACCAACTGATATGGTCCAAACAGCAATTATTTTTGCAAAAGCCTTAGTTCTTGAGTTAAACCGGCTGTGATGGATGGGGTTTCGAATGGCAATATAACGATCCAGTGAGATGGCACAGAGGTGCATGATGGAGGCAGTGGAGAAAAGCACGTCCAAGTAGATCCAAATGGCACAGAGCTTTGTAGGTAGAGGCCATGTGTATCCTGCACAAGAGAAAGTTGACATCAGCTAAGACTGTGACATACTCACATCTTTTGTTGTGGCACATACGTCTTGGTGCATATATCCTTTTAGTAGAAGCTGGTAGTAAATGATGCCTTCAATAGAAGCTGCCTGACACTGTTTCAAGAAACCTTTTTTAGTTGCTTGCAACCTTCTAACTCTGTGGCTTTTGGGATTAACTCTGCTTCTTTCCCAGACTACAAGAAGTGTATGGTTTTTTCTTTTTAATGCTATTTGCATAGTGCTAATGCTTGATGTTATAATTAACCATTTCTGGCAGCAAATCGATGGAAGCAGAAGCAATTTTGTCATTGTGAACCTGCAAGTTCTCAATTTTATTTTAGGACTTTTTATCCATGTAATTACTGCAGTATTAACACCTGCTGATATGCAAAGCACCTAAATTCCGAAACCAAAACTTTAGATTTAGTGGTAGCTGAAGAAAGAAATGTATTTTGTTGCATACCAGTGATATTTATCTCACCTGTCTTTAGGTACCTACCACATACTTAAATAAGGATATTCCCTGTATCAATGAATATTGATAGGTTCCTCCAGAGAGAGCAATCAAAAGCAAATGCATTAGTGTTTACCAATATCCAACTTACATCATCTTTGCTACAAATTAAGCCTTCCCTTTTTCCTTGTTCTTTCCACTAGCCATGAAGAATAATTGATTGCTGTCCTTTCTGGAAGCTATTGGAAGATGGCTATCGTGTCTTGCCTAGTTTTTTCTTTTTCTCTTCCAGACTAAGCAAAGCCAATTCCTTTATCTTTTGCTTACAGATGATGCTTTTAAAACTTTTGTGCCTCTTGTTTCTCTACCCTGGATGCTATTTAATTTATCCACATCTTGCTTATTGTTCAGTGACCAAAACAGGACTCAGTGCTCTTGCAAAAGCCTCCTGACTGCTAAGTGAAATCAAGATTACTTCACGGGTCTTGCAGGGAATGTCCTTACTTACACAACCTGGAATGATGAGTGTCTTTTGTATAAAAATACCATACTAGTGACACATGCTTAGCTTATAATCCATTTTGACAGCCAGATCTTGTTCAGCATTCCTGAAGCCTGGACAGATTTCCCCAGCAGTAGTTGGTTTGCTATCTTGTTCCTGAGTGGATATCTCTGCATTTATCCTCACTGAACGCTATTTATTCATTTTGGACTTTCTCTTCAGGGGTGCAGATGCTTGTTGATGATTCTGATCCTGTCCCTCCGAGTGCTTGTAACCTCTCCCAGCCTGGTGCTTTTGGAAAGGTGTGTAAGCTCACACTCTGTATACTGTCCAAGTTGTTAGGAGCAGTAGGAGACCCAGGCTAAGCAAGAGCCCTGCAGGACCCCCATTCAAAGGCCCTTCTAGTCCTTCAGGGAACCACTAATAACTCTCCTTGGAGCAAGTTTTGCAGTTAGCCCTGTCCTTATCTTGTGGTGATTTAATTTAGAGTGTATTACCCAAGTTGCCCATGACAGTGCAGCATGGGGCAATGCCAAAGCTGGTATGGTGAGAACACGCTAGTGTTTCGGGGGGTGCCTGTCTCCTTTGGAGATACGGTACAAGATCTGCAACA